CTCTAAAAATGGAAAATAGAACAAGCGAAGCGTTACGCGGAATGGAAAAGAATTTCAAAGTTAAGGAGGATGGAGCCTATTACTTCATGGACCGCATTTGGATCCCTAAGCTTGGAGGATTCAGAGAAGTAGTCATGAATGAAGCCCACAAGACATGATACTCCATCCATCCAGGTTCTAATAAAATGTACTTGGATATCAAGCAACAATATTGGTGGCCGAACATGAAGGCAGATATTGCCACCTATGTTAGTAAATGCCTTACTTGCGCTAAAGTGAAGGTGGAATACCATAATCCCTCAAGATTACTACAACAACCAGTAATTCCCGAGAGGAAATGGGAAAGGATTACTATGGATTTTTGTGACCAAATTACCCAAATAAATAGATAGATTGGATACCATATGGGTAATAGTTGACAGATTGACAAAATCCGCTCATTTCCTGCCAATAAAAGAATCCTACAAGATGGAAAGGTTGACCAGGATATACATCAGAAAAGTTGTGAGACTTCATGGAGTGCCAATATCTATCATCTCCGACCGAGATAGTAGATTCACTTCATGTTTTTGGCAATCACTTCAAAAGGCTATGGGAACATATCTAGACATGAGTACTGCTTATCATCCACAAACGGATGGTCAAAGTGAGCGAACCATTCAAACCCTTGAAGACATGCTTCCCGCATGTGTGATAGACTTTGGAAAGTCGTGGGATACCCACTTGCCTTTAATCGAATTCTCATACAACAACAGTTATCACTCAAGCATCAAAGTTGCTCATTTCGAAGCACTATGCGGGCATAAATGCAGATCACCGTTGTGTTGGGATGAGGTAGGTGATACTCAGCTAGCAGGAAGACATACATCAAGCAATGCATTAACAAGACCGAAGATCATAAGCGAAACAATGGAGAAAATAATTCAAATCAGATCTCGACTACAAGCATCACGAGGATGACAGAAGAGCTACGTTGATAAATGGTGAAAGCCCTTGGAATTTCAAGTCGGGGATCGGGTGTTGTTAAAAGTCTCTCCCTAGAAAGGGGTGATTCGTTTTAGGAAACGGGGAAAACTAAACCCACGATACATTGGACCCTTCAAGATTCTTGCTCGAATCGGTCCAGTGGCTTATAGACTAAACAGCTACCTGCTGAGCTCAGTAGTGTACACCTCGTGTTCCATATTTCCAATTTGAAAAATTGTTTATCTGACGAAACCCTCGTCATTCCACTTGAAGAAATCAAAATCAACGAAAATCTCCTGTTCTTCGAAGAACCAGTCAAAATCATGGACAAGGAGGTGAAGCGTACTAAGAAAAGTCATTATGAAAGTTTGGTGGAACGTGAAGCATGGACCAGAATTCACATGGGAACACAAAGACCAGATGAAGTAGAAGTACCCTCACCTATTCTCGCATAATTGAATCTAGCTTCAAAAAGAATTTCGGGATGAAATTCCCTCTAATGGGGGGATGATGTCACAACTAGGAATTCTAATACATTGTAAACACTAACAAAGAACGATAGTGTAACTAAAACCCGAAAACATGTATGATGTTTATGCAATGACAACAACATTTCCATCAAACACTCTATACAACACTTTAAATAGTCAACAAAGAATTGGAAACCCTAGAAATCCCGGTTTAAGTCCATTAAGGACTAAGATTTCCTTATTAGGCCTAATGAGCCAATATGCTTCCAATTTAACTATTTTGGGATTAGAACTCTTAAATGGGCCCTAATTGGACCCACTTTCATGAAACTTAACATTTTGGGCCATAATGGATCTAAAATGGATTAGTTTACCTATAATGGGCGTTATTGGGCCATAAATAATCTAATTAGCCCTAATGGGCCATAAAACTCATACTTTGATTTATATTGGGTCGAAAATCATCAAAATGGGTCCATAATACGGACTTAAGCACAAAAGGCTGAATTTATCTTCTTTCTTCCCTTTTTCTCGGCCCATGAGAAAAAAACAAAAAAAAAATAATATAAATTCATGAAATAGGGAGGGTTAGCCACCTCCTTATTACATCATGGACTTCCAAGCAACAACACATGTCTCCATGCACCATATCTTCACCTATCTCTCTTCTCCCTTCTTCTTCTTAATTCTCGGCCAAAGGAAAAACTCACACACACAATTCACTTAAGCATATCTCAAGAGCTCACAAAAACTTCTTCATTCTCCTTCAAAATTTTCGAGATTTAGTGTTTTTCAAGAAGGATATTCCACAATAATCATAATCACTGGTAAGTTTTTACATTTCTAAGTTATATACCTTTTCTCTCTTGTAATACCACTTCTTCTAAACAACCTTTTGGTGATCATACTCCTAGAAAACTCCTTAAGCTCAAAATCTACAACAAGATGTTGCTAGGGCCGAAAAATTGCATCAAACTCTTCCCTTTCTTCTTCAAATCGAAAACAAAAAGAAAAGGGGAGTTCATACCCCTCTATTTTCGGTTTCACATATTTTATTGGGGAGAATTTAAGTAAAAATGTGTAGATCTATGTGTGTTTGTGTGCTATGTGTGATTTTTTGTGTTTATATGGTATTTATGTGCCAAAAATGAAATGGATTTTGAGATCTATAGTTCAAAGACGAAAAACATGTTATCTAGGATGTATTACACATAACAAGTTAATAAAATCTACCATATAAGGGTTAGAAAACAAGTTACAACATAAGACTCATTATTGGGCTATTTTTGTCAAATAAGCAAAAGTTTGGGGAAAGATTGTCATTCACGGTTTTCTTAAGGACCAAAAAAGTCAAAACTATAAAAATAAATGTTTTTATGAATAACATACTCTTTAAAAGGCTAGAAATGTAATTTGTAGCTTAATGGGCCAAATTTTGGACTTTTCGGTCCATAGGCCCAAAAATTGCGAAAAAGGTGTTTCTCAAGGGATTTAAATGGTAAAATTCTCAAAACAAGGGGAAATGGGTAAACAAACTAATTCAGGGGTTAAAATGATATTTTTTTTCCAAACAAGGATAAAAAATGTAAAGTTTTTGGATTTTGGGCCAAAATTGTAAAAGTTGCAAAAAGTTTGGGATTTAACTGAAAAACACTTTTCTAGAGGGGCTGAAACTACCAAAGAATAAATTTTGAGCTAAAAACATCACTTGAACAAGTGTATGGGTCAAAAGGGTCAAGAAAATGGGTTAAGGGTTCAAAATGTCTTTTTTACGACTAAAATTGTCATTTTTATTAAACAAGGGCAAAATGGGTCAAACCAATATTTTTGAGTCAATTATTTTTTTTAAGATATTGAGTCAAAAACACCAAATTACAACTTACGAAAATAGAAAGACGAATATACATATAATTCCCAAATATCGTTATAAACAACCGACCGGCCTTGTGCTGTTACAAATCTAAACATCATTAAATCAATCTTTCCGACAATTATACAATACCTAAAACAAGTAAATATTCAAATCTTTGGGCTTGAAAGTTCCTAAACATGTTTATTGGGCCTTTGTGACCCATTAACATGACTTTAGTGCCCAATGATAATAATAAGTGTTTATTGGGCCTCCTGTGACCCAATTTCATATTTAAGGGACCCTCATTGACTTTCAAGTGCTATTGAGCCTCAGTGGCCCATTAGCATTGCTACTAAGGTCCAAATAAATCAAATGCGAAACGAGCCAACGTGTCCTTCGTATGCCCAATAGCCATAAATAATATGTGGGATCAGTAGGACCTTGTAATCCTCTTCTCCTTGTTTATTAGGCTTACCTTCAATTCAGTAAACATATACAGGTCATTAATCAATGGTAATCAAATTCATGTTTGATTCGGTGAGTAATAATAGGCAGCACCTCTATGGGTCGTTTGTAGTCTATAGTTATAATCAAAGTCTCCTGGAGGGAAATCGAGAGTTTGTGCGTAGATCTATACAGGAGTGACTCCCCACACCTCAGCTGTTTGCTACAGTTAGACTCGGCCAGTCTAGGGTGACAAAATCTTAAGATCAATTACGGCATTCGTTAGAATGCCAACACAGACGAACTAGTCATTATTATGCATGGTTATAATGACTCACATAAACAAATCCAATACTATTCGAGTAATCAAGGAGAAATCATAATCATTCGTTGTGACGGTATAACAATTTGAAACAATTATATTTTCTAATCGGAAAACATCGGGTTTTTCGAGTAGATCAACACCATTCATTTGTACTTTTCAATATCTATAATGCAAAACTTCTCATTTATACACGCTTTGAAATCATTCACGCATAAACCTATGGATCTTCACACTTTGGTATAAACAATTGTCTTTTTCAGAAAATATCGGATTTTATGGGTTTTATAAATTACACAAAACATTTTTATAACAACCATGCTTATGAACTCACCAACATTCCATATGCTGACCTTTTCCAAAATAACTTGTATTCTCCGGTAACAGGTAAGATGAGGAGTAACACCAAGTATGTAAGGGTGTTATGCTTTTGAAAACTTTTAAACAATTTATGCTAGGGATGTGTAATGTTTAAACAATGTACTTGATGTGGACAATGCCAGTTGTAATGTATTGATGCATGGTGATGTTTATGTTATGATTCATGTATATTCATTGTGATGATATTCAATTTAATTCACGCGAGCCCTAAGACGTTTCCACCGTCTGGTCCGGGGTGTGACAATCCTGGAGTCAAACTCTATTGGTTTGTTCTTTTAATATTAATTTCTTATCTTATATAGCATCCTACTTTCTTTCTTTTTATTATAAATTCTTAATTTATTAACTTAAGCATATGTTTTGTTGCTTTTGTAGATATTATTGGACACATTTTTGAATATGGGCGTATTGACACCTCGGAACAGGATAGATCAAAACACAAGATGCTCATCCATCTTCAAGATATACAATATACTATATTTTCCTTTAAATTATCTATATTATTTATAAATTTTTCAGGGATACTAAGCTTAAGGTAACTTTATGGGTTCATAATGCTTACTACATGCATGATTTTCTTGTCAACAATAACAGTTTTGCTCCAATTGTTGTTATTGTTCAATTTGCCAAAGTGAAGTTTATTAATGGTTTGTAATTATATTTAACAACCATTTTAAACAATTAAATATTTTGTAATTAATTGATAAATTATATTTTTTGCAGGTCGTCCTTTTACATCCACCTACTTTGATGTTAGTAGGTTGTTTGTAAACAATGATATCGATGAAATTACAGTCTACAAGAACAAGTATTTTTATTTATAGTTTCCTTTCAGTTATCATATTTATTTCATAATATAATAAATGTAATACCTTTCTTTGTTACCAATGAGCAGATTGGTTTTTGAAAATGGACAACTTTCATCAAGTGGAATCAAGATGCTAAAATCAAAACAAGAAACGGAACACGATGACATTGTAAAAAATTATGTGTTTTCAAATGTTGATGATGTGTTTGAACCTTTGGAGGTACTTTTTATTCTTTTTAAAGTTATTAGTTTTATGCTATGCATTTTTATTAGTTTTATGCAGTTTAGCAAAGTAACATATATTAACATTTACATTTATAATTTTTTCTAGGAAAAAACAGTCATTATTGTTGGTACTGTTAAGGGAATCCGTCAAAACATACGTTGGTATTACCTCGCTTGTAGAAACTGCAAAAAGTCAGCAAAACAAAAAGACTCCTATACTGATAAGGTTGATGGTTTTCATGAAGTGGCCAAAATGGTTACTTATGAATGTACTAATCCTACATGCAAAAATGTGAAGATTTCGGTTATTCCATGGTATTACATATTGATTTTATTTAATAAAAATATTTGGTGATCATTGTTGTATAATATAATATAATTTATACTTTAATTAGATTTAAAATCCCACTTCGAATTCAAGACAACACCGAAACATTGACTTTGACCTTATTTGATCAAGAAGCTAAGAAGTTGTTTAAATACACAGCTAAAGAGTTGTATGATAAAAACAAAGAGGTATTATTGTGTATCTGCAAATTACTTATTTATGTTATACATTATGTATTTTTATATACAATTTTTCTAACACTATTTATTTATATTTTAGCTTGGCATCAGTACGGATTTGTATCCAATGGAGCTGAAAGTTGTGGTAGACAAAAAGTTGGCAATTAAAATTGATATCACAAGTTACAATGTCAATAATAAAAGTAACATTTATGGGATATTAAGGTTAAGTGAGAATACAGACATAACTGATGAAATCGAAAGAAAGAATCACATTCCACAGTTTATTTTAAAAAATTATGTTTATTTTTTACCACATTGACCCAAAAATATCTCACTAAATAGCATATTGTTTTCATCTTCCTATGCAGCCTGGTAATTCTGATTCATTCATGATTGGTTCTTCAGATATTTGCTCCTAAGAGACCAAGCTTGTCAAGGTTGTAGTGTTTATATTATACTAATCAACTATTAGTTTTTAATATATAAGAAATAACTAAAACTTTAAATAAGATTCTTTTAAACAGATAGGTGAAAATATAACACCGTGTGCTAGGGACAACTCAACTGCAACAAGTCCTATAAAGTTCATCTCTTCACCAACTTAGCTGAAAAGAAACCTTGCTAGATGCATAGATTTTGATGAAATGGAGAATTTGTCAACTTCTAAGTCTGCTCGATTGTCACCACCAGATGAATAGCCACAACCCCTTTTGGTCCTAAAGAAAGAAAAGTAAATTTATTTTACTTTTACAAACTATCTCAGTTTATGGTTAATTTTTTTGAACATCTCATAGACTCGTAAGTCGTTTAGATTTTTAACTTTGTTGCATTTTGAATTGTTTTTTTTTTTCATTTGATGGTTTTTTATATTTAATTATTGAACATACATTGTCTGATTCTCTACATTGGGTCATTTTTCTCATTGCCTAGATTCCCCCTACTTCTATAAATCATAATCAGTTAAATAACAATGTACCTGCATCACAATTTGTAATTAAAATAACTATATGTATCGAATTCACTACATGATTTCCCATATTACCCCTACTTCTATAAATCATAATTAGTTATAAGGGTATTGCATATCTATCATATTATTTAACAATGTCAAACTTTAATCATAAATCAGATAAATATGTTACTCTTTTTTTGTTATATATATATATATATATATATATATATATATATATATATATATATATATATATATATATATATTAATTATTTTATTCAAATTTCACAGTTTGAACTTAAAGAAACCAATATGTCTGAAAAGAATGTGAGTCCAATAGTATCAGTGGTGGAATTTTGATTCCTAAATTGCCCATAATTTTGATTTAGATATGCATGTATCGAATTTGTTACATGATTTCCCATATTACCCCTGAAAATTATAAGATATGTATCTTTACATATATATTCTTTTTAAAAACCTATAAATCTCCCAAATTTCCCTTAAACTTTGTAATTTTATGATTTCCCATACTACCCTAACTAACTTATAATTCAGGAATTCAAAATAAATTGAAAAATTAACTCTTGATATTTAACTAAGTTATTTACCCATAAATCAAATAAAGAAATGATAACATTGTGTTATCGATCAAAATTAATTAAATAGCAATGTACTTTCTACTTCAAGAATTATATATGTACACTTATATCACAGATTGTTCAACTTTAAACTTAAATATTATACAATTTTCTAAATTCAACCTCCCAATATAAGATTTTATTTAATCAAACAATTGTATATTTCTATCAATCAAACTCGGTTAAATAGCAATGTACTTGTATCACGTTTTGAAAAAATAAAATAAGTATATCTTTTCTTTTTTAATCTTATAAAATGCCTAAAATACCCCTCCCATTATTAATATAGTCTTTAATCTATCAATTTTCGAATTTGACTAAATTGCCTTTGTTATTCAAATTGGCTAAATTTCCCATACTTCTATAAATCATAATCAGTTAAATAATAGTGTACCTGGATGACAATTTATTTAATTAAAATAACTAAACGTTTTCTTTTTAAATATTACAAAATTCCTTATATGCACCTCCCACGTATAATCAACTCTTATTTACTAATAACTGACCCAAATTGCCCTTAATGTTTGATTATAAATTTGTACATAACTTTTCTTAAAAATTTATTCACTATCCTAATTTAGTTTTAAGGTTCTTCTACTTTATCAATTGAGGTGTCAAATTCAATAACTTATATGTTATTTTATTTGTTGTTGATTATAGTAATGTAATTTCTTCTAAAAGAAATTCATTTTTACACTATTATATTTTTTTTTCAATTTGAAACGTAAATATTATAAAATTACTAAATTATAACTCCACTATCAACATATTCTTTAATCAATCAATTGTAGAATTTAAATGCAATGTACCTGTATTACAATTTGTTTAATTAGAATAAGTATATGTTATATTTTTAAATATTATAAATTGCCTAGAATGCCCATTCTAATATTAAGATACTCTTTAATCAATTAATTATTACATTAGAGCAATTATGCAGTCTATTTTGTTCTTGATTTTTTATAATTTCTACCTCAAGAACTATATATTTACACTTATATCATGGATTGTTAAACTTTAAACTTAAATATTATACAATTTTCTAAATTTCACCTCCCACTATCAAGATATTATTTAATCAAACAATTGTGTATTTCTATCAATCAAACTCGGTTAAATAGCAATGTACTTGTATCACGTTTTGAAAAAATAAAATAAGTTTATGTTTTCTTTTTTTAATCTTAAAAAATGCCTAAAATGCTCCTCCCATTATTAATATAGTCTTTAATTTATCAATTTTCATATTTGACTAAATTGCCTTTGTTATTCAAATTGGCTAAATTCCCCCTACTTCTATAAATCATAACCAGTTAAATAATAATGTACCTGTATGACAATTGTGTAATTAAAATAACTATACGTTTTTATCTTATGGACAATTAATCGCATTTTACTATTTACTTTTATTTTGTTTTATCAATGTTATATAACTATACAAAAAATATAGATTTTATATTATGTTACTTAAATAGAACTTCATATATAAATGAAATCATATTTTAAAATTTAACATATTTACAATATATGGTAAAAACTCAATATAATAATACTTAATCATTATACACGTCGTGGTTCAACTTGAACCTCCACTGTAGCCTACACATAATTGGGACTGATGTGTTTATGACGTGCGTCGATGTCTCTTCATCTCCGATTAATCATCCTTTTTAACCCTCACCGTTAATGTAAATTCTTATTCTTGTATTTGAACTTACCATCAATAGATAACTATGAATTGGTTATACTCTGTGAAAAAAAAATCATGTGAACAATGGCAAGAAACATGAATGTCGATCCATGGGCAAAGTCGAGGTATCAGCTATGGATTGTAACTAGTGAGGAACCAAAAAATACACCGCTTGTAGAGTATGGCAAAGGAAACAAAAAAAGGTTCACCATTAGAGTTGTCCATGGTGGATATTTCACTGATTATCCAGGTAAAGCTTCTCAAAAAACAAAAGTTAATTTTATAACTTTTGTCGACATTGATTTGCTTGACATGGATATGCTTGGTAGTTTTTCTAAAAGGTTAGGTTGTACAACTGTTGGATATTGGTATCATATGCTAACAGAACAACATTCTAGTTTGTCAATGACTCCTATTTTGGATGATTATGCTTTGAGAAATTTCAAATCAATAGTTAGGGCACATGAATTCCATGAGATTGAATATCTGTATGTAGAACACAAGCCATTTTATATGCTAACTAATTTCCCTCGCTTCATGATGAACTCACCAACCAAAAGAGATGAGAAGCATATTCATCTCTTTGTGACAGAACACCTAGTGTCAACAGTTGATGATGGAATAACATACATCAAGCATATGCTAAACATCACCATTCCCAGAGGAAAGATGGAAGATGCAATGGACATGGCAAAAGAGAATGTTATTGCCTGGAAAGACTTAGTGTAGGAAACTGTTGTTTCTTTTTTATTGTTGAAGTTAGATATTTCACGCTTAAGACATATGCTAATTATGTTTTGTATATTTTGTGAAATAGAACAGTGCATTATCTAAGCAATTTCAAACTCATAATTTGTTCTAATGAAATATATGATATGTTGACTAACTATTCTGCATGTTTTATAGTTTTAAGTTTTAGTAATATTTATATTTTTGTTGTATATAGTTTTGTTTTTATAGATCAAGGGTATTGACTCAAAATTAGTATATCAAGGTGAAAATGAATGAGTAGTTAATTTTCAAGGCAGATGTTAGGGTACACTGCTTTGTCTTTTTGATTGTCATGGTTGTTTTTGATGTATAATGGTATTGCATATCTATCATTTTCATTCCCAAATTGCCGTTAAAGTTTGATTTAGATATGCATGTATCGAATTCATTACATGATTTCCCATATTACCCCTGAAAGTTATAAGATATGTATCTTTACATATCTATTATTTTTAAAATCTATAAATTTCCCAAATTGCCCTTATACTTTGTAATATTCATATTTTTTGTTGTATATAGTTTTGTTTTTACAGATCAAGGGTAATGACTCAAAATTGCAATATCAAGGTGAAAATCAATGAGTTGTTAATTGTCAAGACAGATGTTAGGGTACACTGCTTTGTCTTTTTGATTTTCATGGTTGTTTTGATGTATAATGGTATTGCATATCTATCATTTTCATTCCCAAATTACCCTTAAAGTTTGATTTAGGTATGCATCTATCGAATTCATTACATAATTTCCCATATTACCCCTGAAAGTTATAAGATATTTATCTTTACATATCTATTATTTTTAAAAACTATAAATTTCCCAAATTGCCCTTACAATTTCTAATATTCATATTTTTGTTGTATATAGTTTTATTTTCACATATCAAGGGTAATGACTCAAAATTGCAATATCAAGGTGAAAATCAATGAGTTGTTAATTGTCAAGACAGATGTTAGGGTACACTACTTTGTCTTTTTGATTGTCATGGTTGTTTTTTATGCATAATGGTATTGGATATCTATCATTTTCATTCCCAAATTGCCCTTAAAGTTTGATTTAGATATTCATGTATCGAATTCATTACATGATTTCCCATATTACCCCTGAAAGTTATAAGATATGTATCTTTACATATCTATTATTTTTAAAATCTATAAATTTCCCAAATTGCCCTTATACTTTGTAATATTCATATTTTGGTTGTATATAGTTTTGTTTTTACAGATCAAGGGTAATGACTCAAAATTGCAATATCAAGGTGAAAATCAATGAGTTGTTAATTGTCAAGGCAGATGTTAGGGTACACTGCTTTGTCTTTTTGATTTTCATGGTTGTTTTTTATGTATAATGGTATTGCATATCTATCATTTTCATTCCCAAATTACCCTTAAAGTTTGATTTAGGTATGCATCTATCGAATTCATTACATAATTTCCCATATTACCCCTGAAAGTTATAAGATATTTATCTTTACATATCTATTATTTTTAAAAACTATAAATTTCCCAAATTGCCCTTATACTTTCTAATATTCATATTTTTGTTGTATATAGTTTTGTTTTTACAGATCAAGGGTAATGACTCAAAATTGCAATATCAAGGTGAAAATCAATGAGTTGTTAATTGTCAAGGCAGATGTTAGGGTACACTGCTTTGTCTTTTGATTGTCATGGGTGTTTTTGATGTATAATGGTATTGCATATCTATATTTTTCATTCCCAAATTCCCCTTAATGTTTGATATAGATATGCATGTATCGAATTGATTACATGCTTTCCCATATCACTCCTGAAAGTTATAAGATATGTATCTTTACATATCTATTATGTTTAAAATCTATAAATTTCCCGAATTGCCCTTATACTTGGTAATATTCATATTTTTGTTGTATGTAGTTTTTTTTTTTTTTTACAAATCAAGGGTAATGACTCAAAATTGCAATATCAATGTGAAAATCAATGAGTTGTTAATTGTCAAGGTAGATGTTCGGGTACACTTCTTTGTCTTTTTTATTGTCATGGTTGTTTTTAATGTATAATGGTATTGCATATCTATCATTTTCATTCCCAAATTGCTCTTAAAGTTTGATTTACATATCCATGTATCAAATTCATTACATGATTTCCCATATTACCCCTGAAAGTTATAAGATATGTATCGTTACATATCTATTATTTTTAAAATCTATCAAATTCACAAATTGCCCTTATACTCTGTAATATTCATAGTTTTTTTTGTATATAGTTTTGTTTTTACAGATTAAGGGTAATGACTCAAAATTACAATATCAAGGTGAAAATCAATAAGTTGTTAATTGTTAAGGCAGATGTTAGGGTACACTGCTTTGTCTTTTTGGTTGTCATGGTTGTTTTTTATTTATAATGGTATTGCATATCTATCATTTTCATTCCCAAATTGCCCTCAAAGTTTGATTTAGATATGCATGTATCGAATTCATTACACGATTTCCCATATTACCCCTGTAAGTAATAAAATATGTATCTTTACATATCTACTTTTTTTTTAAAAACTATGAATTTCCCAAATTTCCCTTATACTTTGTAATTTTATGATTTCACATACTACCCTAACTAACTTATAATTCAGGAATTCAAATAAAGTGAATAATTAACTTATCATATTTAACTAAGTTATTTACCCATAAATCAAATAATGAAATGATAACATTGTGTTATCGATCAAAATCAGTTAAATAGCAATGTACTTTCTGCCTCAAGAACTATATATTTACACTTATATCATGGATTGTTTAACTTTAAATTTAAATAGTATACAATTTTCTAAATTGCACTTCCTACTATAAATATATTATTTAATCAAACAATTATGTATTTAAATCAATCAAACTCGATTAAATAGCAATGTACTTGTATCACGTTTTGAAAAAATAAAATAAGTATATGTTTTCTTATTTCAACTTAAAAAAAGCCTAAAATGCCCCTCCCATTATTAATAGAGTCTTTAATCTATCAATTTTCAGATTTGACTATGGATGCATTGAATGTTGTTCTTGGATTTTTGTAATTTCAATTACTTGACAATTAATAGCCTTTTGCATAATATAAATAATACACTTTTATATTTGATTAAGTTAATAACTTAATTTTATAATATTATCTCACATCCTCACATTCAATAACAAATACAAAAAAAAACATTCCTTTTAATTTAATATGTCAGAGATTAACACTTGATTAACATCAATTTGTTTTAATACTTTCAAATTTTCAAAGCAAATTATGGTTCCCTCCACACAATTTCAAAAACAAAATTTGAAACCTAAATTAAAAGATTATAAAACCCTAACCTTCTTTCAAGTCTTTTCCTCTTGATCTTCTTTGCTTTGCCGATAATAGTTGCGTTATTTCGTTCTTCATTCATGTTGTCCTCTCTAATTGACGATTACTATCACACCCTAAAACCAAGAACATCAGAAACGTTCTGGGGCGGAGGACGTTATGTACAGTATCACAACAATGAAAAGTAGTAAACAAACATCATCCATTGCATTAACAATATAATTTTAATACAAGTGTTCTATCAAATTATAATAAACACTAAAGTATAAACAAAATGAAAGATGAGTCTTGAACGAGCTCCATCTTCTCTAAACCTTGCATCTGTACCTGTCTACTGTTGACCTGAGGATACAAGTTATTTTGAAAGAGAGTATTAGCTTTAAAGCTGGTGAGATCATAAGTATTAATGTGTCTTAATATCTATGCAAGTACTTTTATGTATTTGAAATGTAAGTATTTGTATGTATTTGAAATGTAAGTATTTGTATGTATTTGAAATGCAAGTATGAAAATGTTTTGAACATCCTAGAAAGCCCTATGCTTCCTACTGAAGGTAGCCTTCTACCAAGGCATCTAGTGTCTGTGTGTGTGTCTCTTGTAAGAGCTTGTATTTTCCCAAATCTGACTATCATTAACTAAAAATATAGTTTCTACATTATCGTGCATCGTGTGAATGTTCACAAAGTGAATGTAATGGAAAAATGAAATAATACTATGGTGTAGTGTCGAACTACAACCGTACCAATTACCTTAAGTCTAGGGTAATTGTAACAGCCCGGATTTCCAAGTATCTTTTATTCATATATTTTTGGAGTTTTGTGAGGGGACTCGGCGAGTTGGATCTCAAACTCGCCGAGTAGGATCGTGGTTCTGGACGCGGGTTCGCGCCTGGACTCGGCGAGTCCAAGGAATGGACTCGGCGAGTCCGCGCTGTTTAATGAAACCCTAATTTCCCGGTCCTAAGCCCTATTTAAAGGACCTTATGACCCTTCATTGCGGCTACCTTGACCTTGAGAGCACCAAAGCAGCTAAGGGTTCCTGTGAGTGAGATAAGAGGCCATTGTTCACCAAATTTGTGTGTATTTGCAAGAAAGGAAGGGGAAAGTCAAGCTAGAAGAGTTGGGGAGCTTGGATCCACTTCCATTTCGCTAGGGGAAGCTTCTTGAGGTATCATTCAGAGCTTATTTCCGTATTTTTGTTGATATGGTCAAATCTAGGGTTTCTTCTTGCCTTGTTTGCTTTGTAATTGAAGTGTGACAGGTCCCATGGGGATATGGTACCTAGATCTGGACCTTATTAGGTCCAGAAAGTCCCTAATGCTATGATTTATATCCTTCCTTTTTGGGTTGGAGACTAGGGTTGCCATCTTAGAGGTCATTTCTCCAAAAAGAGCCTTGTAGGTGTTGCATGGTAGCCAAGACTGTGACTTTACGTGATGAATGAGCTTAGGAGGGCCAGATCTACGAGTGGATGGAGCGGATCTAACCTCAGAAGCGAGATTGAGTTGATGCATGGCATGGACTCGCCGAGTCTGAAGAACAGAGTCGACGAGTAGCATGAAGATTGTCCTTAACCACTCAGTGAGTGGTCCTACCGAGTTATGGTTGACTCAGTGAGTCATGGAGAGTTGAGTCGTGGTGGCCC